TGAGAATATTTACTCAATTTAAAATTAATATAATTCTTAGTGAACAAGTTTAATTAAACAACCTTTAAAAAATTAGATAGATTTAACTGTTCTCAAATAAAAAAAAACATATTTGATAGAAAAGATGCAGTGACAGCAAAGTACCGACTTTTGGCTTTTATGCACACATTCTAACTGAAGTTAGTTTACTTATTGACAAAAAAGCCTTCATAAGTCAGGAAAAACTCTTTTTTATGAAGATTTCAAACATCGGGGCGGTCTTTATAAGAGTGAACCTTTCCCCAACAAAGTGACACTGCATCATGACAAAAATTATTCAATCCGATGCAATACAAATACTTCAAACACTCTGAGATCATAATTACTTACGACGCGTCCGTGAGACGGTATCTGTCCTGAAGCTTTTCTAAAGCTCTCAGCAACGGTTCCGTGAGGATTCCAAAGGGAGGATCACATATGATAACTAGTTTTTGTACAGATTTAAAATACTGATTTACCTTCTTTAAACTTAATGCGTTGTAAAAATGATCAACTAACATACTGTATTGAGCAAACTGAGTAGATCGGTAAAAGGCTCCCTAAAATGAAGAGCTAATGAAAAAAACTCGGTTCTGACTGGCTCAAAAATTAAGCTTAAACAACAGTGATTCTATGAACTTAAAGAGAAAGACCATTTCTAATAGCCATCAATGACTAGTCAAACTAAAACTAACAAAACGTCCATCCAAATCCAGTAAAAATGATTTTAACCGAGCCCTTCTCTCGGGATCGCACTGTATAAATTCGAAGACAGTCGGAGTACCGATACATAAAACACCATCAAAATCATTATCACTTATGATATCGTCTAAAACCCGTAGGCAGTCTTCCGAGAACCAGAATTGCTGAAATTAAAAAAATTGTCACAATGACGTGGGAAGACTATCACTACAGACAGCTTTTTATCTAGCGAAAATTGCTTACGGCTTTGCTAGACTTAGAATCATCTAATGAGAAAAGAACTGAAGGCTTCCTGAATTGCGTCTTCTTCAACGGACCAACTACTGAGTGTGTATGGGTTGAAGAAACCGCATCATTACACGTCTTGCAGTAAAAAAGATTCTCATCCGCTGCCGAAAGTCGTTTGATGCTGCAAGAGCTATATTCAAAAACGGTTCATACATCACTTTTAGCAATTAACAAAGTAGAACAATTTTTCAGGTGTCATATACAGGCATAACGCAAAAATTTTGTTCCTTGATACTCAGTTCTCTTAAAACACATGAAAGTACCGAATTAGATGACAACCTCATTTCAAAGCTCAGAAGAAACCTTTTATAAATTTTTCTGAAGGGAGCACTCTTTTTAAGGCCACCACTATCTACCGTAGAAACAGAAGCTTCTGGAACTGTGAGAGACCCATCTTCTGCAACAGGGCATGAGAAATCGCATTCGCCTTTACGAAATACCGCACAGACAAACTTTCGATCGATAACTTTTCCAGATCTTGACTTCCTTCCTAACAGAATGCATGGCCCTAAACTATAAAAAAACAATATATCGAGCTAATACCCCTCTTTTCAATTTCCTTATCTAGAAATACAGTAGTAGCAGAAAAAATAGAGAAAAATGAGTTAATTTTATTGTGTATAGTTATGAAAAAGCAAAATTCTTCAAAATTAAACTCTCCAATCTATTGTCCGCCACATCCTACCTACTCAGAGAATGTCTTATGTCCAAAGTAAGTGTCAAGCAAAAATGAAAAAAAATAAAAAAAAATTTTTTTTTTCTCTCTTTGAAATCAGTTGGATCTTGTTGCAAATTTAGGTATTTTTTATACCGATATTTTAGTAACTAACGAACTTCATGTAAAAGGTTATCTAGCGAAAAATAATTACCATGTGGACATGCTGGCACATTGCCGTTTGGGTCTAGATAACAGTAACCAGTGCGGTCTTTAAAAGACACATCTGGAACCTTCATCTTAGTTGCGCTTCTCATTCTAGACTGCACTCGGTTCCTCTTACCAGCCCTATTTTTCTGAAGCCTTGCATGAAATTTATGCAACCTTTTCTGATCATAGGGACTGTGACTTCCATGACCAGCCTGTTTCTCGCTTTCTTTCTTCTGGATTCTAACTTTCATCTATAAAAGCAAAAAAATCAATAGATCACATGCATTCAAATCAAAAGTTACAAGGCATACATTTAAAGCAATATTTTTTGACGAAAAACTCCAGTTCCACTTGGATGAAAAAATGAATTAGAACAGATGGTAGAGAAACAATACAATGGAATAAAAAATAAATAAATAAAAAATAAAAAAACAAGAGGAATTCCCAGATGGAAAAACAGCTCTGATGTTAAGAAATTTCAATGCAACTTTTAAGATATTAGAGGAAAAAATTTTTTTAAAATACATATCGCCTGGTAATTACGGATTAAAAGATTCCAAATGTCTTCCATAAACAGTGAAAACAAAGAAAATTTAAACGCCCAAAATTTAAACGTTGGCAAACGCCCAAATCACGGTTCTGCATTCTCGACCTGCGTGAAGGTAAAAAACCAGAGCGTTGTAAGCCATCTGGGCTGGTTTCTGAGGTTCAGTTTAAACTGCTGTAAATAGTGGTCAGGCATCTCGGTTAGATCTTCCTATTTTGATGACGAGACTGCATTTTTGCCACTAGAAACGAAACTATTAGAAGTAACGCGAATATTGTGAGTTGTATTTGAAAAACTACATTTAAAAACGCTATAGAACATTTAACTCTTTCACTTCTGATCACTCAGTAGAGGCTTTATTTATGATACGTTAAGAAAGCAAATTAAACGAAAAAAGAATTCAGATCGAATTTCAACTAATCACTGTCGTGCACTGGATGAAATTCTTTAGGGACATTTGGTGCAAACACTTTTTGGGTTATCCTCTTCCAACTGGTGCATTCAGTGCTGTAGTAAAAGTCGACGGTCTCATCATGGGAGCTAAGTACAAGTTGACTTGAGCAGCTAACACCAACGTTTTGAGGTGGCAAACGACAGCGCAGCGACTGTTTTATGGTACCCTTGAAACATGAAAAATCGGATTACTTCCGATAATTCGGAATTGTTAGGCTTTTATAGAGATACCACCACCTAATGGTAAATTTCATCAGAAGGTGACACTGTTCAAGAAGACGGAGACAGTCATGAATAGATGGTAAATATTATTATCAAGAAGCGAGGCCGAACATGATGAGGTTTCAAGTAACAACGGCGTCTTTCCCTTTGGTACGAACTAAATGGGCGTTTGTCGGCAACCTTAGGAGGCACCTAATGAACAAAGCTGTCACTCACGAGGTCACTGTAGAAAAAGTTTAACAGTGTTTTTTCAAGAAGTTTGGTTCCCCACTGAGATTTTTGCAGACTGTGTTTAAAGAAATGTGGGTGAAAGATAATATAGCTGTTAAAACCTTTTACAATAAAGCCTGACTGAGTTATACGCATTACTGAAAAATTTATATTTCTAGAGTTTCCATTGTGCGCCGTACTTCTTACTGCACGCTGCTGTATGGCAAACCTCTCAAATAAACGATAATGGAAGAATCATAAAGTTTAATAGCACTTCTGTTGAACACGTACAACATTTTATAAAATAGCTATTCTCAAAATTATACTTGAATAGAATAAATTAGAGGAATTAAAGACAGCTGCATAAGCAAAGTCAAAACGACAGAACTGAACAAAAACAATTATGACATTACATGTAGCAATTGATAAATTCCTAATATAAGAAGGTTTCTTCTTAAAAAGACAAGAACACAGAAACGTTGCTCTGATTACGTCATCACCATTTCACCTAATCACTCGTTAGTTGCGCTTCTTTTTGACATCTTGTAATAACCTGTGCATATGTTCTCAGATAACGGGCTCCATCCTTCGTTTTATGTATTTTCCTGGAGTGAAACATTTCTCACAACATGTCTTTCAAGCGCAGGCTATTAATAGCGCGTAATAACGAACTGGCAATTGTGTGAGTAAACATTTCAGGAACTTCAGAACAAAAGCTATTTCACTAAAAAAGCAAAACAAAGGTGAGACAGGCATATATCAGAATCTTTTTAGATAATGGGGATGATACTTCGTTTTTTGTTTTGTCACTTTCTATTAAATAAACAGTGATTATTATCATTATTTTTTACCTATTTTATCCATTTTCTTCTTTATCTCATTCATTTCTTTTTTGGCGTTACCATTCCAAGTGTCAGTTAAAACTTTCCACTGGTTCTTTTTGATTAGTTTAACTGCCAACTTGGACTGAAATTTACTATGATACTGTGCAAAAATTATACAGCAGGCTACTGTTTACAATTTATTTTGTTAGAAGATTTAACTTAGAAGCAAAGCATTAAAAGATTGGAAGTTTAAAGTACAATAGAACCTCTGAATCGGTAAGTTCTTTCAGAACTTCCTTAAATAAAACCATCCCATTACAAATTTGTACTGACCAATTGTAAATATCTCCCTGCCTGATTATTGCTTTGCTTTTGTGAATTCGGTCACTCAGTGATCCACCTTCACAGTACTCCATTAGAATAAAATAACCTGTTAAGTGAGAAGAAGCACCTCTAAAAATACTTTTTAGAGTGTCAGAAATTATAATAAAATTTATTGCAAGCTGGTTTTACAGAATTCTCAGCTTTTCTGAAAAGATAAACTGAAGTTTTGGAAGTTTTGAAAAGCTACAAAACAGTCAAGAAATACAAATTTTTCGTACTTTAAAAAATGAAAATACTTTGCAATACTTTACAAAAAGAGATACAAGTGTAAAAAACTAACAAAAATTTAATTAAATTAGGATGTTTGAACAGGTTTTATTTTTCTGTTTTCTTT